ATTTAATGGAAATCTAGAAAATGAACTGGTCCAACATATTAAAAAAAAAAAAGAAATCTATGTATTTTGGACTAACAACGGATTCTGTCCGCAAAATGGCATTTCAAATTGCAAAAGCAAAACAAATCCCTTATCGATTTTCTACTAAAACTAAAATGACTGGGTGGACCTGGTTAAATGGTTTTAGGCAAGGTAATCCTACAATATCCCTACGATCACCTAAGAGTACTTCTGCGGCTCGAGCTAGAGATTTTAACAAAGTGCAAATTGACAAATATTTTTAAATGGTTTCTAGAGTGTTGGATCAACATAAATTTCTGCCAAATGATATTTTAAATATGGAAGAATCGGGTATCACCACCGTTCCTTCGAAAAATATAAAAGTTTAGGCCACCAAAGGCACAAAGCAAGTAGGCGTTTTAAGTAGTGCTAAACGAGGTCAGCGACAAACCTCAGTTTATTTAACTTTTTTAAGGACATATCTTTCCCTGCTCTCATATTTCCAAGAAAAAAACATGAAAGCTGAATTAATGGATGAAGCACATGTTGGATCTGTGGCATTTATCCAGGAAAATGGTTACATGAACAGTGATATATTTACTAAATGGTAAAAGCACTTTACAAAATATGCCAAACCATCTAAGCAAAGTCAATTCTTGCTGTTATTGAATGGACATACTAGCCATAAAAGTTTAGACGCAATTGTATTTGCCAAAGAAAATGGCATAATTATTTTCTATTTTCCTCCGCAATGTACCCTTAGGGTACAACCGTTGGACGTTAGCTTTTTTTGGTCCTCTTAATGCTTACTACAATCAATAAATAACTAATTGGCTTAAAAATCACCCAGGGCGTGTAGTAACTCATTTCTTAGTGGATTATTTATTTAACGCAGCGTATATCAAAGCAGCAACCATTCCCAACGCTCTAAGTGGATTTTCTGCGACCGGTATAACACCATTTAACGACAACATCTTTCCCGATTGGATGTTTGCTGCCCCAGAAGTAACTAAAGTTAAAGAGGATGACAATCGGGACGAAAATCAAATACAAGATAGTCATTTAAATGAAATAGATGAAGTCAACTCCATGACAAACTCGGTACCAAGTGTCCAATCTACCAGGGTCTTTAACGAAAACAGCAATGAAACATTAGTTTTGCCAGGTCCTTCATCATGTTCTCAGAACATGTTTTCAAGAACAAATCTTGACTTATCAATTGATGAAATTTCACCAATGCCAAAAGTCGCAGAGATTGTGCGACGAAAAATGAGAAAAGGGTCATATGGGAATCTAACAACAATCCCTAAAATTAAAAAATTGAAAAAAGAAAGAAGTGATGCTGAGAAAGGCACCGAGAACTTTGAAGAAGAAAATTGGTAGAGAGATTGAGCAGAATGAGCATGCACAAAAAAAAAATAAGGGATTCTAAGAAAGTCGGAGAGAGCCATGAAAAATAAATGTGTTATAGAGGATGAAGATGAGTAGGCCGAGAATTTTAACCTAGGTGAGGATAACTCGCCTTGTATTTATTGTAACGAACTTTAATCCTGGTCTCTATCAAGGGAACTATGGTTCCAGTATCACACCTGTAAGAAATGAGCACATGCAAAATGTGCTGGGGTACACAGAAAGACAAAAATGTTGAAATGTAAAATTTGTAGGTAGGTCCATATTTTTATTATTACTATGCCATCTCATCAATAGTTACTTTTATGAGATGGCATATCATGTTTTTTTTTTAAATATATATTATTTTGTTTCCTAATAGAAAACCCGTTTAAGTTTTTTGAAAACTATCTTTATTTATACTTAATTTATTTATTTTGTAAATAAAAATATTTATTGTCCATAAAGAAAAAATATTATAGCACACTTCCCACAGTTTATAATATGTAAAATAATTGGCGTGAATTGTGAAAGCAATATACATCTAACTTCTTTGAATATTAATTTCCAAGCCATAACCCGTCTGTCGTTTATTTACTTGAAAGATATCCATTTTTCATCGCCTCCAAATATTAGGCAATCATCTTACAAAATCTTGCTTTATATTGCAGAGTTAACACTGATTTTAAGTGATTTAATGTTTTTGAATCTTGTAACTGAAAGAACTTTTTTGTCTGTCTATCTAATACGAATATTACGATAAACGAAATTCACAAGAACGGAGATGAAATGTTTTTAGGAGTTAAGGGTTAGTTAATACCAGTATCATCGGCGTTATTTTATTTTTATATCACTGATTTTTGAATTAATAGTAAATACACTCTTTCCAATTAATAGCAGCTTTAATGTGTTATTTATAGGTTACTCAAAATATAGCCAAACAAACTTTTGGCCGTTCTCCATTTTTAATGTTTATTTTTTATAAAATAAAAGTTATATACGTATATGCAATGGTTAAATATGTGTTCCTTATCGGTCAATTTTTTTCAAAATTTTATTTATTTTTCATTGGGAAAAATTGCAAATTTCAATTTTTAGAAAAAGAAACTATATCAAATATTGGAAAAAAGACTCCGAAACAGAGATTTAAAAATAACCTAGATAATAATATTTTTTTTTTTATTAAGAATAAAAAATAGACTTGAAAAGTGAGTGCTATTTTTCGTATCACAGATAATTGCTAAAGCAAATAATTATATTAATATTATTGGGCTATATACAGGGTGTCCGGAAAGTCAACAATAATACTGAAAAAGGTAATGAACCAACTCATAAGCTTCCAGAAAAGCATAATATAGCCTTAGTAAAAAATCGATGGTTTTCGAGATATTGCCACTTTAATAAAATTCGTTAAAATCGTCCCCTTCTAAAAAAATGTATAATTCTTAGATTCTGATTTAGGTTTTGCAACTGTCAATAGCCATTTCGTTAAACAAAGACTAACATTGAACCAAAAGTTTAAAATATTCAATAAGAAATCTTATTTTACAGAGAAATAATTTATTTTTATTTTCCATCACTCCAGTTTAACACCTCATACTGTACAAAAAAAAGGTCTACACTAACCTGGCTAGTGATTTGAAAAGTTTGCTCATTTAATGTACTTTTAAAAACTACCCATTGTTCTAATAAACAGTTTACTGTTATTGACTTACAGTGAAGGATATTTCTAATTTACCTTATGAGAACATTAATAACATTAATTAAATTATGTTAAAAAAAAAAGTTTTATTTCTCATACCAAAAATTAAACAAAAATCAACAGCCTAGACTAGGAGGCCATAAAACAAGTGTTATTGCCATAGCAACAAGCAAAAACATTTTTGTTGTTATTTTGTTACTGTACTGTGAATAAATTTTGCTTGTAAGTATCTGGACTTGTGTGTTACCTTTTGATTTGATTTGATTGTATTGGAGATCAAATGAAGTGACCTGTGGACTTTGTGTTGATTGAACTATTTGTGTTGGTAATTGAACTGTTTAATATGCCGCTGCGGTATACCGCCCAGGAGTATGCAAACATGCATCTCATTTATGGAGAATGCAGAGGAAATGGTCTAGCGGTAGATAACTTTTATTGGGAAAGATATCCAAATTTGGCACGATATCCTGATTATCGTGTGTTTATCAATGTTTATCGCGCATATTCGGAGGGCAGGATTCCTCACGCTCCCGTTCGAGAGGGAAGACCCCGCATTGATTACGATGATCAAGTTTTAGAAGAAATTGAAAACGATCCGACTACTTCGGCGCGAACAATAGAAAAACGAACAGGGATACCCAAATCGACAGTAAACTAGATCACTAGGAGATATCATCAACCATATCACGTGCAACGTGTACACGCCTTGCTGCCTCGGGATTACGAACAACGCGTACGGTTTTGCCGCAGAATGTTGCAAAAAAATAGAGAGGACCCGAACTTTATAAACAATGCACTTTGGTCGGATGAGAGTACATTTAAAAAGGATGGCTTTATGAACATGCACAATTTGCATTCTTACGCATTGGTAATTCCCACTCTATTCGAGAAGAAAAGTCTCAGTAAACCTGTAGAATGGTATCCTAAACGGACATGTAATTGGTCCATTCGAATTATCAGAAAATCCAAACTGGCATGCTTATTTACATTTTTGTCAAACCCACCTACCTCTTATTTTGGAGGATGTTCTTTTGGCCGAATGCCGAAGAATGTGGTTTAAATATGATGGATGCCCGGCACATTATGCACATCAAGTTCGTGCGTATTTAAATCAAACCTACCCCGACAGATGGATCGGCCGACTTGGTCCAATTTTATGGCCCCTTAGGTCTTCAGACCTAAACCCACTAAATCTTTTTTACTGGGGTTGCATAAAATAAAAGGTTTAAGCAAGACCAATAAGTAATATTGATGAATTACCTCAGTGAATAACTGACGGAGCCTAAGAGATAAACTTGGCAAGAAATGCAAGATGGATAAAGAGGGCTTTTTTAAAAAGATGTTGCGCCTGCATTCGCATTGGTGGTGGTCACTTTGAACAAATTGTTTAATTTTTTTATTTTTCTTAAGTTAAATACATTTTTTATTAACACGATATAATTTTGTTTAATTTTTAGAATGTTCTCATGAGGTAAATTAGGTATATCCTTCACTTTAAGTCAATAATAGTAAACTATTTATTAGAATAATGGGTAGTTTTTAAAAGTAAATTAAATTAGCAAATTTTTCAAATCATTAGCCAGGTTGAGGTAGATCTTTTTTTGTATAGTATGAGGAGTTAAACTTGAGTGATGGAAAATAAAAATAAATTATTTCTCTGTAAAATAAGATTTCTTATGGAATATTTTGAACTTTGGGTTCAATGTTGGTCTTTGTTTAATGAAATGGCTATTCATAGTTCCATATTCTAAATCAGAATCTAAGAATTATACATTTTTTTAGGAGTGACACTCGAAAATTTGATCTAAGGGGACGATTTTAACGAATTTTATTAAAGTGGCAATATCTCGAAAATCATCCATTTTTTTTTTGAGGTTATATTATGTTTTTCTGAAAGCTTATGAGTTGGTCAATCGCCCCTTTCAGTATTATCGTTGACTTTCCGGACACCCTTATATTTAACCCATCCTTCTTGTTTAAAAAAAAAGATTTTGAAAAAACAATTTAATAGATTTAGATAGCAAATAATAAATAAATATTTTTTATGCCGCAAACGGCCTATGCTGACTCTCTTAGTTTTCTACAGAATTTTCATTCTGAAACAACACACATAATATGACACATTGTCTAATATTTTATTTTAGTACGGAGCAAATGATGCGTACTTTAAAATGTAGCCTTCAAACCACCTTATGATTTTTGTTAATACGCTTTTTATCTCTTGTAACAAGGAAGAAATGGAACTTTTCCATCCTGCAAATTACTCTTTGTCGTGTATTTTTCTATGTATTCTCTAATTTAAACTCTTTCTTAATTGAAACTCATTTTGATGTTAAAAAACTGATTAAAATTTGTATAATTTTCGTCCAGTCCTATCTATTTGGACCAACCTATTACTTAATAAATTTTATACTAAAAATAAAAAACTAATAATTAATACTACAAACGATTTTTTATGATTACTACCACTATATATAACGTCAGTACCAGGTGGACTGCCTTGTTTCACTGTTATAGGTGTAGGTCGGTACTCAAGAGGACAAGGCAGATCTCTTACTGGAATTGACATTAAATAAACGTTTCCATTGCTGTCTTCATTATCATCCCTATCGGAGTAGTCGTCTTGTTCAAAATTTTCATTGACGGAATTGGTGTAGATCGAAGACGAACACACCAAATTCTCCACTACTTGCGTTGTAGCTGCAGACTTTTCGATATTCTTTGAGCATTGTAACTCTTCTAAAGAGTTGCGAATATGTGATTGAGCAGTTTTGTCATGAAGCACGTACACCCAGTCCAGACGACAGTCGCAGCTAAATTTGTTTCCTGAAAAAAGAAAAAAGGAATTATTATATTTTATAAATATAAAAAATGAAAATTCATTTAATATTCTAAGCAGTAAAAAGGCGTTCTTTAAGGCCTCTCAACCTTTTTCAGTTCCCCTTCATGGCTCATGAAAATCTATAAATTCATTTTTTTAAAACAAAAGTGAAAAGTGTTCGATGACCAAAGAGGTTAAAAAGGGTAGATGTAACATAGGAAGCATTTACCGCTGCGCGAATTTTGCCAAAACCGAAAAACTGGGTGGAAGGAGTAGGGAGATGTTCCGGGCCGGACTTAAATATTTTTATTGTAGTACCTAATTTTGGTAGGTAAATAAAAGATGAAAAATTATGAGACGTTTTTGAACTTCATTTGTTAGCAGGATTAATTTATGATGAGGGCAGTAACACATTGTTAATGTAAAAATATCATAAAAATGTCATTTTCGATTATATAAAATATTAGGAAGTCAATTATTAGTTATTTATATAATCAGTTACGAAAGCCTAATTTTGTGTAACAAGTAAATATTTGCGGGACGAGCGGAGCGAGGTCCCGCAAAATAAACGAGTTACACAAACCGGCATTTCGTAATGGGTTACATACAAGATTTTTTTTTAAATTTTGACTTGATTATTTATAAAATTGTGTTTGGTTAAAAAATAATTTACCATCATTCTTTTATAGATACTTTATTTGATTGCCCTACGATGTTTTTTTAATATTAATAATAAAAATAAGGGGACATGTGCAGTGTTGACGATCTGATTTTTGACGGGAAATTTAAAAAAAAATTGTTACCCGTTATCCTTAAAGGAGTACGTCCAAATTTTTCTGGGCAGTTTTCAATGACGGTGTTCAATTATTTAAAAAAATTAACAGCGTTTATTTTTTCGTTTTCTTATTTTGTTGTTAAACGTAATATCAAATTTTCAAATTTGAAATGTCACTATTCATTTCCTTTCTTTCGATTTCTCGATTTTGCGATTTTGCGATTTTGCGATTTTTCGACTTAAAAACCAAAAAAAGGTATTTTTATTTATTTTCATTTCGTAACTGTTGACATAATCAACTTTTGGTAATCAGTTGCGTAATGTTCTACTTTATGTAACTGGTTGTATAAAGTAGATCGTTTTGACACTTGCTGCGATTACAAAATACAGAGTGGCCCAAAAGTCTGAAAATGGCCAATTGTCTCGTAAATTGCTAGTCCTAATTGTGCAAAATTTGGGGTACACCTATTTTGGGATACGAAGACTCCAGATTTAATATTTGCAATGTTGCCAGATTTGCCGTTTCTCTTATATTATTAGTGACTTTGGTTTTTCAAATTCATTACCCTGTATATTCAGTCAATATAAGAATCTCCCATTCAATACGAGTTCAACCATATGTAACACTTATGATTTTATGTAGTCTGGAAGGTCTTAAATAAATAAACCAGAAGTCTAGTAACGCCTAATTGTCTGAATAAATTTTTTAAATCAAACTATTTTCAACTACATTAAAACGTAACAATTGAAAGATTACAACATTTTTAACATAATGGTTACTTTATCAAGTGTTCAAAATGTGCTCCATTTGTGAGTTGACAGTACCCTAATCGATGGTAGAATGCGTCTACCACATTTCTCCATAATTGATTTATTTATTCGTATTAAATAGGAGATTCCAGTAATGACTGAATATACAGGGTGATGAATTTAAAAAACCAAAGTGACTAATAATATAAGAGAAACGGCAAATCTGGCAACATTGCAAATATTAAATCTGGAATCTTCGTATCCCAAAATAGGTGTACCCTAAATTTTGTACAATTAGGACTAGCAATTTACGAGATAATTGGCCGTTTCCAGACTTCTGGGCCACTCCGTATATTATTTTATATGTCAAAATTAAAAAAAAAATTATATTATCCTACATTTTGTTTTAAAATACTTACCGATTGGCTTTCTTCTATTTAATTCAAATGAAAACAGACAAGTATGCGCCAAGAATGACAAATTATGACAATTCGCATAAAACGTCAACTTTCTGATTAGATTTGAATATGCAAAAGACTACTTTGGATAGTGATGGTAGAGAAATAACTTATTATATCTTACCTCACAAAATGTTGCATTATAATAAATGTTATAAATACACATTATTTTTATTATCAACCGGTGTTACAAATTATTAGGTAAAATCATAATAATTACGTTAAAATAAAATTATACAGCTGGCAAATATTATTGGCAATAGTCATAACCAGCACGTAGGTGGTGACTTTATGTTCCTTACTTTAAAAATATGTTTATATACACGAAAATTCACAACTAAGTGCAGAAGGAATCTTGAATCATGAACTGTGATGTAGATAGATGCTACTAATTTTATTAATGGTCTTTAACATGATTATCCGGTTTACAGAATAAATTTCTATTCACCAACATACACAGTATCGATTATCGAACTTTTTCCAATACGCTTTGCACAAGTCAGCCATGTGAAAACTACATTATTGCGAGCAAGAAGCGAGTATTATCAGCGCTGTCTGTTTATATGGCCTGAACAACGTTACAACACGGTCGGGCCCTATAAACAACATAACAACACATAATTGAATGACACAAGAACTTACATAATTGTAGAATTTCAACGTTAAGAAATACAAACTTTATCGTTTAATCAACCAAAATAAAAAAAATAAGCTACTCGTTAAATTTCGAATATAGTTAGCTTTTAAATGAAGAGACAGACTTTACAATAGGTAACAGTTTTGAATACTGCTAAAATCAAAAGTAATCCAATGAATAGTGATATAGCCAAACTTTCCTTAAAATTATCTTTTCAATGACGTGTCATACTTGGCACTTTCCCTTTTTAACTTGCATTGGTTAAAGTATGGAGTGTAGTGGAATGACGTATGACAGTTAATATGATAAAAACATGTCCTCCTTCAAACTAAAATCGATCTGTCCGAGCATTTTTTAACATCCATGATATTATTACCCAAAACCACCATCAAGTTTTTATTCGGTCACCTTGTATAAGGAGAGAGTATTTTTATTAAAGAAAATTAACTTATAAATAATAATCTTTAAACAAAATATAAATTAAATGGATCAATACCATATTACTATAAAGAAATAGTAAATATATAGTTTTGAACAAACTATTAAAACCAGTTGTGAAGTTTGAAACGAATAAATTAGTAATGAAATTGATATTTTTGTATTTGACTTGCTAAAAAAAGATTCCTTATAAAACAAGAAATAGTAAACATTTTTTAATAATAACCTTTATTCAATTTGCTTCTTATAACATGTACCAATTACCAAGTCGGGTTCTGTTTATTTTCAAATAAACAAATATAGCCATCGATACAATCTTTAAAAATTAAATAACCCACCGAAATAAATGTAAGTTTCCTTTATCGCCATCACACTTCACACTTTTATTATAAATGAAGCTTTTTACAACACATCCTGGCATTTTCAATGTTAATTTCCAAAATTTAGGCCACTAACATTCTAAATTAATTGTGATTGGTGGGTGTGAATAATTTCGAAGTAGAATTATGCGCAGTGTCTTATGCTCCATCTAAGGTGTATAATCTATATCTATAATGAGACAAAAATACAAACTCTACGCCACAAAAATTTTAAATATAACAATGACTTATTTCGGCTTTATATTCATTTTTAAGCCTGTAGTATAAACAATGACATTAGAGAGTAAGAGTTTATGTAAAAATTTATGATCTTGGGGTAATATTACAAATTATACCATAGAATATTAAAAGACACCTCAGTTTCCTATGGCAAATGGCTTTCTGCCAAATCACCTGAATTTTAGATAAGTTGCAGTTTTTGACCTTATGGTTAAAAGTATTAATGGGTACAAAGTTCTCCTATGATTAGTTTTTGAGATACAGGGTGTTGAATTTGTGAATTCTCATATAATTTTCAAAAATATTTTAAGACGTTAACTTGGTAATTTTGCTAATATTCATAAATATTTAAAGTTACTAGCAAAAAAGATTTCTATTTCGTGCAAAATGATTTATTTATTTAAATTGCAAAGCGCTTCGGTATAACGCCATCAGCAGTGCTTGTCTACAAAGAATTGCGAATGTAAATTTATAAGATATGTGAATATAAACTATAAATTTAGGTCAAAACAGTTAATTTTTAAAAACGGATTTTGTTGAATAGACAATTAACAAAGGTAATTTTTTTTAGAAATTATAAAGAAAAACCTATGTTGCAGAAAATGATTAGACTCTAAACCATTCATCGTTCGATTCAAACTTTAAAGAAGCATGTGCTTGTCTAGAGATAAGGGGTTAACACCTAATCATCGTCCAAACTAGATTCTTTTTACAGTAAAGAATTTATTGGGACTCCATCAGAAACTTATAATCTAGTAAATCTAGAAAACAATACGAAATAAGTTATAATCATATTAACATATTTTAGTTTTTGCATGAACGTAGATAAACTATCATATGTAACTCGTGCAAAAAGTTGCCATCCTTTCCACTCTTGTTGCACAAACTACTATTAATTGATAACTTCAAAACTTTTGAAGTTGACAATATTTTCCTGAAAAAGTAACAAAGCTATCAATAAAAGTTTGTCGATGTTTGTTGTCGATGACTCTTTATTGAAAGATTACATTCTTATATTATGTATGTTGCAATACTATTCCTATTTAAATATCACTGAAAATATATGTTAAATAATTATTGAGATATACTAAAATATAACCTTACGCGTTGAAGCATGCTCTATTGGATTCTATATGCATGGCTAGTTCAAACCCTACAAGAAGTAATTTAATTAAACTCTCAATTATATAATAAAATATTATACATTTCAATTAACTTCATGCCTCACGGGAACAAAATCACACATATTAGAAATTGTTAAATGAAGTGGTAACTCAACTACTTATTAAAGTAAAAATTAAATATTTAAATCAAATTTGTATTTGGTGGCCGAGGGCGAAGTTCCGCACACCGTGAAATTGCTATTACTTTATTACATTACAGTTTAACAATTTTCACTTCATGTGCAGTTAGGGCGTTTAGCTTTTCTATTAATATTAATTTGCAATATAGGGAGTTTGATAAATTTTAATTAGTTGAATCTTTATTTTTTTGGAAGAATAATATTGTAAATTGATAACACAACACATCGCAACAAAATAGCAATATTATCTTTGTGCCGGAAGAATTAGAACTGATTTAGGATAAGAGTTAGAAGGTTATCCATAACTCAAATGTATATCCGCAAATTAAAGAAAAAACATGAACCACATATTTGTAATTATGAAACAGAATAATAGAACTAGTTTTGGTCAGTGATCATCATCAAGTTTGTCAGGAAAACTATTTTAAAAGTACGTTGCACAGTGGTGTTTTTTAAATGAACGGTAAGGGGAAAAAACCAACGATGTCCATTTTATAGGAATTTTTAAGGAATCAGTTTTAAAGGAAGAAGTTTTAATAGATAGATTATTAGTAAACAATACATATTATGACAATAATTAGGGCCAAATAAATTTCTTGTCGAAATATAATTATTATATGTAAATATGAAACATGAAAAGTGTTCAACCAACATTCAGTCTGCTCTACTATAAAGCTGACTAGAATGACAACACAGTTTATCTTCGAAGTACTGATATACCTATTAAATAATTTTTGACTCTTTGACTTTATCATTCTTTTAGTTTACATATTTTTTCGGCTATTATGTTATTGTTTATTATTATTCTACTCTTCACACAGTAGTCTGTGCATAGTATTATAGGTGTACTTGGTCCGATGTCACGGTTTTTGTCTACACGATAAGTCAAAAACGAAAAATGATATCATCTTAAAGTAAAAACCAAGCTCTATAAAAAGACAAAGCCTATTGTTTATGAAAAAAATCTTATTAAAAATTAGGGGTTAGGATGGGTTGAAATTAAAAAAAAAATCCCAAATTAAAAAAGAAAAGCGATATGAACATTAAATATTTAGTAAAACTGAAACTCTATAAGAAGAGATGAAGCCTATTGATTCTTACAAGTATTAGAAATTAAAAATTTAAAAAAACCGACTTCAAAAACGTGCAGATGCCATCACCACATATTTACTAAATTTATATGGGACCACCTCTGACGTACCCCCTTACTAACAAAAAAAGAATTCTATAAATCGGACAAGGACAAGGCATTATCGTTAAACATACATAAAGAATGAAGAGTTTGAGGATTTTCTCATGGACCCAATTATTAGATTTTGACCAAATTTATATGGGACTACCCCTGAAGTACCTTCTTTCTAACAAAAGAAGAATTATTGAAATCGGACACCGTGTTGAAGAATTATCGCTGAACATACATAAAAAAAAAAAATATCGCGACGAATTGAGAACCTCCTCCTTTTTTGAAGTCGGTTAAAAATGATTGAAAATGGGAATTAAGAGGGTCTGTTAAGCTGTGAAAATTATAATTTAGAATGCCTCGCATTATATATCATTCTAGTTTGTATCTGTGTAATATTATGTATTGTGATGGACTGATCTTATAAAATATATTTTAGTTCACTTGTTTTTTGCCAATAAAGATTATTTCAAAAATATATTATTTTATTTAACATGTGTGACAAATAGAAACTGAAAAAATGGTAGGTAAAGTTTCATGTAATAATATTTTTTACACAAAAATCAATGTCGATTTAGAAATAATCTCAAAATATGAAGAAAAGTCAGTTGACTAACTAATAATGTTTATAGATGGTTCTCAACGTATTAAAAACAAAAATTACACTTACTAAAATATTCATTTATTAATAGTTCTAGTGCTTGAAAACAGTATGATATTAATAATAATAACTACACTTATACAAGCTTTTGAACCGAACTCACAAATGATAAAATTATTGGAAAAAGTGAACACTTATAGTTTCAGTTTATAAAACTTCTTATACAAATGTGACTCAACAAGATTGGATAACCTTGTTTAAACAATTCACTCGGAAAAACGTTATTTTGTGGGGACTTTAACGCACACCATAGTTCCTGGTGCCCAAACTTAGACGATAATAATGGTGAAAAACTAATGAATGCATTAGATAATTTAGAGCTAGTTACATTGAATGACGGTAGCCCTA